GTACTGTCTACTGGGTTACTATTAAGTGATATGACTATAATATTCACATTGTGTAGCGACGGCATTATTACTACATTTGTTGTTAGTTACTACATAGTTCCAGCCATATTGCCCAACCGTTGTAGTTGGGATACAGGAGATGGCGTAAGACAACGTTGGGACCATTAATCCAGATATCCGCTGAGCCTGATGCGCCACAGATGAAGGTGGCAATCAACTGTCGCATTTTTATGCACATATAGGATTGCTGTGATATTTGTATATAGCCAAACGTTTATAACTATCTGTTCTAACAGAAAACATTTTTAACAACTTGTGCTGAAGTAGATTTAACAGTCTTTTTGACGGAATAAATACCCGTTTTCATCAACGCCTAAATATGCTTCGCGTAGCGTAGGTATTATTCCTTCCATTGTTGGAACCATAGCGAGCGAAGAGAAAAATCAGCAGTTTACAAACAACGCTGATATATTATGCATTATTACGCAGTTATATAGATGGATAGCACGGATACTATAACTGCATCATAGATATGATTACGTGATCATCGAAGAACTAGGGATAGAATGTAAGAGCGCTTTGTAACATGACATGAAGCCTTAACAGCTTTTTATTGCTCTTGGGCTTTCACGCTGACACCGCCCCTCCATTATTAGTGTCTCAGTAAACAGGTGCAAAAGCTCCGTAACATAATCTAACAGTATAGTGTATGTACTCGATAGATTGTATGCGTGGCTTTTCCACTTATTTCTTCCCATGCATGGTGTTGAGAAGAACCACTATGTAACTGCATAATATATAACTATGACTATATGTTTATGATGTAGCAAAACCAGTACGACATATAACGTACATGAGTTTTCGATAGAAGTGGCATCGAGTTCGTGCGCCGGAAGCCAACATAATAAAAAGACCTGTGATTGTAGTGTTGCGTTAAGATAACACTCCGTCATCAACTTTATATAGCAAAAGGCGCGAATGTCATAATGTGTGTAACAGTAGTCATTAGGTTTCTTCTTTCATATTTTATTCACCTGCTGTGTTGAGAATTTGATTGCTATCTATAGCTGGTTTACAGGTTGCACTGCTGCTGCTTGAAAAAGGGGCATCTCCACACGCAGCAGCGAAGAACGGCTATACTCCTTTGCACATCGCTGCGAAGAAGAATCAGATGGACATCGCTTCTACTCTTTTGGAACACGATGCCGAAGTGAACGCCGAGTCGAAGGTGAGTACATGAGGATCTACCATTAGGCCATCGTGAATTCTGATTATTTTAAAATTCATATTTTGAATGATTCAGGCCGGATTTACACCGGTGCACTTGGCGTCGCAGGAGGGATTCGTGAACATGGTTCTGTTGTTAACCGAACACCAAGCTGACGTCAACGCTAGGGCGAAGAACGGTTTGACCCCTATGCATTTGTGCGCCCAAGAAGACCGGGTAGAAGTTGCCAAGATACTGAAAGGCGAAGGTGCCGACTTGAACGCGCAGACGAAGGTAAGATTTTCTTGGCGATTACCTGTGAAATCTTGTGTGCACGTGTTTCGGATAAGAAACACTGAATTTGGTATCAGAGCTTGATGCTGTTGCTGTTTTTTGGGCAAACTTATCACTTAAATACCTGTGCAAGCAACTAAGAACGAAAGGGCTGTGCATTACGTCGTGAAGTTCAGCTTTGGATGAGTGATGCGGTTCGTAAGCCTTTTATCGAGTAGAGGATGTTTGGGGGAGGGGTGGAAGGTAACCTTACTAGGGTCATTCATACGGGTCACGTTTTGCTGAAACGGACAGTCAGCGATGTACATATTAGCATCCGCTAAACTTTAGTCAATGCTCTGAATACAAATTAGTAAAAGCCGCGTTTAGTAGTAAAGCCCAGCTGTAACCAGTAACAGTAACAATTTATAAATCTGACGAAATGTTCTTTCAGAATTGCACAGTTTTAAGAATACAGAAAGTGTTCCTTTTGTAACATACAATAATACGAGGCATACTACAATGAACTGCAGGTGTAAGTCTAACACAAAGGAGAGGAACAGTCTCTTTGGTCCAGAAAGGTCCATTAGCTGAAATATTTTGTACAACCCTAAGTCTGTTTTTGTAATAATATCTATATTCGCCTGCTAAATCTCAATTTAGAAAAAACGAATATTTAATGAGTTTTTTTTCGTATTCCTTTATCATTAAGAAATTAACATTAATCTCATTTCATGAGAAGGCAAGTTTAACGCATGAAGCAGGCAGTTCCCTGCAATTCCCTCATCAGGCTTGTAGGTGTTCTTGCGGAGAGGTTTACAACGGGGTGTCGGCAGTGGTATTCGAAAAAACTTTACAAATATTAGGTGATTTAAACGTATTTAAAATTAATTATCTAAGTGAGTATGTAAGCACTGCTGAATTTGGAGCAAGTTCTGCAACGATGGTGGCGAGCTACTTGTGGGTATTGTCAAACTTGTCATTCTCCCTTTTTTAGATAACGATCTCTGATTTGATGTCTAGATCATGACTCTTCTCGATGCGCTTTTGAACCGTTTTAACGCTAGGGAAGGGTTGCACGAGTATGCGGAGGAATTTCTAAGTTTCTTCCTGACAGTCTTGCTTTCAGCCCATTTCACCGCGACTATTTTCACGATTTTACTTCGGATGGTGGCCTGTCACCCGTAGACAGGGTCAACCCTGGTGTAGTTGTCCTTCCACTTTTTACATGGCGAGGTCTGTTTTAGTGCCGGGATAGTATGTTTTCTTTGTTCGTTTTAAATACTGTTGGCATTTAAGCAAGGTTGCGATAGCATGGTGATGAGTGAATGTATCTTTGGAAGAAGTGTAAAACGGAATGAGTAAACTATTTTAAATCAGATTTAAAAAATAATTTATTGGAGTAAATGGGATATTTTTATTTTGATATGTGGTTACATGGAACAGTTCATTTTTTAAAAGTACTCTTAGTACTTTTTGAGTCACAGTATTTCAATGAGTTTGTAGCGATAGACGCACTCGAGTTGAAACAGAAGCGTTTACAAATATTCGTTTATTTAAATGGATTTGAGACCGAGACTAAAGCGGGTGGAATCCCAGATAGTATGCCTGATAAATTGCTCGTGAGAAGGGAGCTACATTCAGAAAGTTGAAGAATCAAATCAGTGAACGCACGACTTATCTCAGCGGAGCAGATGAAGCGGTCTGTCCCATTGAGGAATCCAGCACACTAATGAACCACGCAGCACAATCAGAGACAGTGAGCTACTAGCGGAACAGTAGATCAGCTTAAGTGTCTCGGCTCAGTCATCTGCAGCGATCTCCATCTGATCTGCTAAATAGAAGGATCGCCGTCGCATGCAGTACGCTTGGTAGCATGTCGAATATTTTGGCTAGGAACGGACTAGTCCTTCCAGCAAAAATCCTTCTGTACATTCCCTTTGCCAAATCAGTGTTATCCTACGACCTG